TGACTGCGATGGTTGGTATTGCAGATAGGCTAAATCGGATGATTCGTTCAGGAGATATTCAGCTTTGTATCTGAAACGATTTTCTCAAATATCTCAAAAACAACACAATTGATTTTATTTTTCTTTTTTGCAAAATATTCGGTATATTATGCCCTAATTATATGAACCAAAGAGTTTCATGCGTTCGAAGAAAAATCTCAAGATATTTCAATTTTCATGTTTTAAAAAAAGAATGCGATGTACACCCTCTCTGATTGTTAAAAATCAATCTATCAAATTGAAATTTGGCACAAAGTTTTCTGTTATGACCATAATGTTTCATATTGAAGATAGGCTTAATTCCAAAAATATGAAAATTTGAGTGATTACAGGTACCCCATTCGGAAGCCAGCCATCAATGAAATTGATGGCAAAATAAAATTTAAAAAATAAATAAATAACATGTGCAGTAACAATTATATGTCTTCTACGGCTAGGAATGGCAAACTGCTTGTTTTTGTTCTTCTCGTGTTAGTTTTTTCAATATTTTCTTTAATAACTAAGAAATCATCAACATAATCCACAATTTTGTAAATAAAAATTTTACACAATTAAGTTCATATTAACTGTTACCCAATCAGCAATAAAAAAAAAGTTCACGTGTCGATTTTGCCCCGGCGGTTCATTTCCCTTATCTATATTTTTTATATTTATTTATGATTTTCTGGTGCTCCACGTTTAATCCACTTAACTAATTTGTCGAGTTGACAGTCAAAACAGATACACTTATTTTTTAATAATTATTGTTTATTATCATCACTATTGAGTTGTATTATTTTTATTAAATTATTATCCTCATTTTACCCTTGGCTGCCGATGCCTGGCCGAGCCTTAAGTCAGATCTGTGAACCAAGGGTCAGTTGGTCACCCACTGACCCAAACACAAGCGCCGAACTCCTATCGTGTAATTTCTGCTTAAAAATTGAAACTTGAAAAGGAAGAAATTTTTACTGGTCAATTTTTCGAGAAGTTATGAATTTATACAGAAAATTCAAGAAAATTCATATTTCGAGACCGGTTGGAGTAAAAAAGTTTAAAAAATTCATGAATGCTTCTCGCATTACCTACTATTGCCCACAAAAAACTAAGCAAAATACAAATTTAAAAATTTTATTCGTGCTTGTTTTTTCGGAGAATGTCGTGTATATACTAATTATCAAAACATTATCTTAACTTAAAAATTAACAAATTTATTTGAAAAAGCCTGCGTTTCCAACGAAAACTCTTGAACATCATGTGGAGTTGCTTTTTTCTCTCCGAATTCTTTCTTTCTTCATAAAGTTTAGCCTAACTTCTGAGACTGCCCACCCTCAGACAGTCGACAACTGTCAGCTCCTCCACCCCTGAATGATTAATAAAGTCGCAATCAGTTCTTTATTTCGTGCAGTAGCATGCAGATCTCCACATCACAAATTCATGAAATAATGAGCTGATGTCACGCAGTTCTCATTCATGTCCCACTCTGAAGAAATTGTCTTCGAGGGTTTAGTATCAGACATGATTCAGCATTCGTCGCGCAAACAATTCATTCAGTAATCCAAGAACCATAAGAAATGATGCTTGAGAAATTGAAAGATCCCTTCCTTAGAAGTAATTTTCCTCCAGAGTTTGAAAAATTATTCAACGTGTGTCGAATTGCTCTGCGCGCGTCTGGCATTCTCGCCATCAACTCAATCTTCTACAAGTCGAAAGAAACACCAAATTTGAGGATAGTGTATTATTTCCTCGGAATATTGCCAGTTGTTTTCGTCTTCATTTGTGAAACTTTGAGCATAATCCACTTTTGGGGATCGAATGTTTATTTGGCTTTGGAGATAGCGACTTCAGTGCTGAGTGGATTTGTGGTCATAGTGCAGGGATTCTGCATGTACTACTCTAGGGAATCCTTTCTGGACCTCATAGCGTCGATCCGTGATTTATGGAAAGCCCGGATTCATGATATTGATGATAATGCAGTAAGAAAAGTCAAAGCTGCGCACTTTTTTACACAGTTTTACGCTATTCTTGTGATAGCTCTTGCCAGCAGCTACACTCTTCGACCTTTTTGGTGAGTGCTAAGATTAAAAGTAAATCTAAAAAAAAGGTAAATAGTTTGCCTTCGCTCACAAAACTTCTTACAACCAAAATAGAACTAAATTAGAGCCTCATTATATTTTCATCGAAATGGAGTCCATTATTTCTGAAAGAAAAGTGAAAAACGAAATTTATAGTTTTGCATTTAAGACTTGGGCCCAACGTCGAGAAATTTGAACTATCCGAGGGCGCGATCTGTACGAGTTTATAAGCTGCTCCAAATGGTCCTGAACGTAAACGAATCGAATGGAATAGCAATATTTTCGACTTTGAGAAATCATTACTCCGTATCTTAGAATAAATGCAGCCATATGATCTTATTCATACGAGAGAATTGAATCCCAATAATATCAATAATTTAAGATTGAGAATACCATTCTTAAATTATGAAATTCGGAACGAAAATCTTGGAGCGTTCCAGCTTAGAACGAAACCTGAAACGAAACTCGTGGAATGTTTTTTTACTGGGATCGAATAGTGTGAAACGTTACAGCTTGGTATCAAAGTGATGAAAGATTTCTCGCGTGGAACGATGTTCTTAGGAAGCTGTCGGAAAAAAGATGAAATTTGATTGAAATTTAGGTGCCAATTCACAGATCGTTCTTCTCTCCAAATTATATGGGTCTCCTCAAAATTCAACAATACATTTACTGGAATTTTCCGGCTTTCATTGATTTTCGACCAGCAGCCGTACGGAAATTTAAAGTTCTATTCGATCTTTCCCCTAAATTTTGACTTTCCAATGAGATAAAGGGTCCTGAAAGTGTCTAGCAGAATAAGCATGGTGAATCCACCCTCAGCGATTTTTTATTTATGACCCAAAATTTCAGATCTTTATCATGATTCCCGGATTTCTAATAACTAGAAAACATGTTTTCTAAGTAATATTTTATTTCTCACTAAAAATCTATTCAAAAGTCAAAAGCACTCTAAAATTGTAGAAAAGTTTTTTCCATAATTTTTCCCTACTAAGTTCATATTTTTTATGCGTTCCACATTTTCGATTCCTTACAGACTTTAAAAAATTAGTGAGGTTACTGTTCCAGGTGTTTCATATGAAAAATCATTTGAATGAACTACATTAATTTTTCTAACAATTTCAAAGGACCATATCAATAACATTGAATTAGACGTATCGAAACATGAGAAATTTTCGATATGATTATGACCAAATTTGTCGAGAATATATTAGAAATTTCATATGCTTTGTGTATTTGGGGCCTTCAACCCATATTTTCTTCTAAAACCCAGACGAAAAATACAAAATGGAGTACGATTTGATTTGACAATTTTCTTTTTCTTTCACTCATCTATTTCGAATGTGACGAAACGTATCGATCCTTTCAAACGGTGTCTTTAAAAATTCAAATGAAAATACTCTCCAAAGCCTTGCCGCATGTTGAACCAAACCAATACTATCTCAGTTTCACTCCCATCGGGCCTTACAGTTAAAATTTTGTGATTCGCGAGTCTGAAATTAAAAGCTGCCCTGTTAAATTTATCCTCAAGTATGGGAATTACCATTTCAGCAGTTGAAGAACCATGAAATTAATATAATGTAAAAAGTAGAGATTTCAAGTACTATTAATAATTAAAAATAAAATTTATTTCTTAGCAGATACATATTCGAGAAAATTGTAATGAATGGGATTTCATAATTCGCTCTTAATTTTTTCCGATCATCTGATTTCAATCAGATGAAATGGAGTTGTAAAAAATTGATTATGTATATAATCTATCGTAATAGAATGGATTACTTAAATTTTTTTTGAATATGTATCTTTTAGATAGTTATCATATTATATGATACCTTAGCAAAATAAAATGGTAACACAAATCGTTACGCGAGTGTTTTAATAGAGGATTCATCAGTCAAAAATCTGTGATGATCGCCAAACTCATCCAATTCTCATCATTTTTTTATCTACTTATGACAGTTTTAGGGGAAAAATTAATTTTTTCCGTTTTCGTGAAAAAAAAATTAACCTTGATACGATTTTTTGATGCTCTCAAATGGACTAAGCTGGACTATTCATATGTGAATTCATATTTGAAAAACTCGACCCACAAATTGACGAATGACATGTCCTCGCTGGTCAAGTCTAACGCATCGATAAATGGCAAACAGTGTTATTTTTTGAGTGTCACATGAAAAATGGAAACAATCTCCAGTAATTTGAAGGAAATTATTTCACGTGGGATTTATCACGCACCATGTGAAAAAGTGATAGAGCATATCTATATATCGTTTTGAAGAGAATTCGCCACTCTTCCAAATGGTGCGTAATAAATCCCACGTGAGATAATTCCTAGTATTGACAAGATTCTTAACGCAGTCTGCTACTAGGACACATCGTAACCAGCAAGAATGAGACGTATGACTTGAGCCAAACAGCCTACCCCGCAATCTACCCATTCCGAATCGACAGCTTGAATAAATACGTCATATGTATTTCCGTAGAATTTCTCATATTTATCAGCGTAGGTGCATGGTGGATAGCTGCCGACATGGTTTTTCTACAATTAGCGACGCATTTGTCTCTGCAATATCAAGTACCACATCAAATTATTCAGACAAAAAAAATCTCTCATACGCTGAAAAAATTCCTGCAATTTTAAAAATTCTCAAGATTTTAATTATCTTACGTAAAATAAATTAATGTTCTTCTGAAAATTTAAGTCAATCACTGACTACCAAAAATTACCCTTTACTTTTGGCATAATTACGTTAATTCCAGTCTACTAATTACTGGCCTTCTGAATTCCTTTGCATATGAAGGAGGAAGGAATTTATTCGGAGGATCTCTTCCTGATTGATTTTCATTACCAAAAAAAAAGGAATTTTTTCTAAAAATCAGGAAGTAACTAAGTTTCTCAGTACAATAATAGAATAATAGTTAATTATCTCGTCCATGTACCAGATACTGAACGATGAACTTATGACGCTCGCAACTCAAAATGGTTCATCTACAGCGAGTAATAACGCGTTGATTCACCAATTGGATTCTATCGGCAAACGGCACACCCATTTATTGCTGTGAGATACTTCGCCGGTAATTGGTACAGACCATAATTTTCTGCTTTTCAGATTGTCCAAGAAATTCCATCGAATATTCAGCCCCATATTACTGGTCCTCATGCTGGTGACAAGCGCTAACATCTGCATATGCATTATAAACCTTCAGGAGGTAAAATTTGGCTTAAATTCACGCCTCTTCGCTGACAAATAGGGGTAACTGTGATCGATATCATCTTTTGATAAAATTCATTCGATACCTGGACCAGACGGCAATCAACAACGTAACTAAAAGGGATCACAACGAAATTAGAGTCGGTCTCAACTAATTGAACGTGGAGATCCGATCAAACATGATCTTTATGGGATTCAACCAAATGCATCCCCGTCGCGAACCCTGGGTAACGTTGGGGTAATGCTTGTACGATTTCGATTAAAAAATCATCTCTTGCATTTTTTCATTTACAAGATTTTTGTCTATCATCGGCAGTTGATATGTTGAACGTAGTTACCCCAACTATTAATAAACTCTCAACTTACCGTCAAATCGTGGAACATTTTGACTCATCATCCAACTCTCAATTGACCATCACATAGATTCAACTGCCAATGATACACAAAAATAAACCATCATCGGCTGTTGACAGTTGAGTGTAGCCCCCACCACGCATTCACCCTGTCACCTCAACCATCGACAAACTCTTAACTTACTGTCAAGACGTGGAACATTTCGATAGTCGGACTCTCAACTGGATTTACTAGGATGGGTCAAATTAAATATCAATAGCGTTGATATTCCGATTGACTTGATTTGAAAATATAGGCGGATCCGTTAAATGCAAATTCAATAAAAAAAAAAACAGAAATACGAATCAATGTCTTAAAACTGTCAAAGCTCTGTGAAAACCATCAAGTTTCAGACTTTACCTCTGAATTGCGTGCTTATTCAATAAGCTGCGCAACCAATATGAGACATCCGCTAATAAGTTCAAATTCAAAAATTCAAAAGTCTTAAATTCAGTTTGATGATTTTTAAACGTTATAAAAAAAACGATGGGCCCTACGACATTTTCCCATTAGATGGTTTTTGTTGCAAATTCGATTTGCAACAAAAAATAATCGATGGAAAAATCCCCGAAACCCTATTGTTTATTAAATAATTGAAGGAGAGTGTAATATTCGGAGAAAATTCCGAATGACTGGAAGGCAGGGAAAAGGAAATGGATCCACGTTTGAAATGACTTGGTGGCCCTGAAGAGGGCCGATTTTGGTGTGTCCATCCGGAGAAGGTTGGAAAGAGGGAGGCATTTCCTATAGCAGGTTTTCGACGTGTCCTCCACCTGCATCAATATTGTAAGGCAGAGCCTGGCCCTCTTCAGGAGATTCCTCCTCATGCCTTCAAGCTCTTCAAGGGTGATGGCTGCAATAGCAGCGTGCAGCAGAGCTACTACCACTTCCTCCTGAGTCGCTGGATAGTGCTCGTAAATCCGCGCGTCCAGAGTCCCCCACAAGAAAAAATCCAGCGGAGTGAGATCTGGAGAACGCGGAGGCCACGCAACTGGTGGTTGTCGGCGTTGACCCCTGTCCCGGTCGCTCCTGTTCCCGATCCAGCGATCTGGGAACCACTTGTCCAGTTGGTCGACTACGGCAACAGACGTATGGGCTGGAGCTCCGTCGTGTTGGGACGAGACAGCATTGTCCGCAGGACCGTCCCCGACGACAGTTATCAGGCGATCTCGGAGAAATCCCAAGTAATTGCCACTCTGAAACATAAACAAATAAAATTTAAATATAAAAAAAATCCTTATTGTAACTAAATAAAAAATACTTACGTCGAGACGTCCTGGAAGGTGATGAATGTGAACTTCGTCACCAATGATCCCTCCCCAGGTATTCATGCTGTTCCCAAGAAACTGGAAATTCGTTTCTTTCGTAAGACGGGGATTTTCAAAAGCCCAATGATGCTCATTGTGCTGGTTGATAATCCCCATTCTTACGAGAATCTTCTCGTCAGTCCACCATACGTTGCGCATAAATCCTGGATCGCGGCTTCTGTGAAGGAGCCATTGGCAGAAGTTCACACGATTCGGCAGGTCTTCTGGCTTTAGCTCCTGCACCGGAGTAAGTTTCCAGGGTTTTAAACCCTCCACCCTCATCACCCGGTGCACCGTCGAAGTGGCAGCGCCTAAAGATAACGCAATTCCCCGGACCGACAGCTCCGGAGACACTTCGACACTCTGGAGAATCGCCTCTTCCAGATGTACCCGATCCGCACATCCTGGACGCCCTTCGCCGTGCCTTGGGAGGATGTTACGCTCCCTCAGCCGTTGAAAGGCATTTCTGAAACGCATAAATACGGCCAGCTTCCGCACCATTTCCACCCGTAGCACCATAAATGGCCACCATATCCGCGTATTCCATGGGAGTAAAACGCACCATTTCCACAAGAAATTCAGAAAGAATAGGATTTTTCCATCGATTATTTTTTGTCGCAAATCGAATTTGCAACAAAAACTATCTGATGGAAAAATGTCGTAGGGCCCATCGTTTTTTTATAATGTTTAAAAACCATCAAACTGTTTATTGCTAATATTAAATAAACAATTGGGCTCATGTGATTTTTGCATGAGATTATTTAGTTGCAAATTCAATTTTCAGCAAATAATAATAGACGGAAAAATCCCAAAAACCCAATTGTTTATAAGATAACGCTAAAAACATTGCCGCGGAGTGATGCGAGAGAGTGGGAGAGAAATACTATGCCTTCTCTCTCGCGCCCATGGTCGAACGTGGAACTTGATCCCGCCTCCTTCTGGCTCGAAGGGGAATCACTCACACTTGAGCGCGACAGCCACACCGACGTACACGAGAGAAGGAGCAGATTTGTAATGAGCAGATGCGTAAAGTCATTGATTTAATTTTGATTAGGAAATCCATATGGAACAAAAAGAATTCTTCTCTGAGAGGCTATTACTTCAGCCGCAGGCATTTTATGCAATTTCTTCACACCTCCTTCAGATGAAATGTTGTCTTCTAGAGTGTATACAGCGATTCTTCTCATGCAATTAAATGTTTCAGGCCCATCTAGTGTCTCCACATTATGATCTGTGTTATAGACAACGAACTGTTCAAAACAATTCCCCTCAATATTCATCTTCTCAGGATCCATGATACTGCTCACCTCCAAAAGTTTTATCTCATGATAGGAAGCACACAAACCTAATTTGCTTAATGTATCGGTGACTAATTTTGAGCCGGTTTTTCTATAAATATATCTACCAATTGCCAATTGCAAATTTGATATAAACGTCCTTGGGCGACGTGCAGAAACAATAGCATGGGCGATGGAATCTCTGACACCTCGTTTTGCAGCTTCTTTATCCGGATCGCCTTTAGACAATAACCTGCCGAGGAAACCCTGAAGATTTGACGGAATGAGTGTTGAGACAGTCTCCAGAAATTGAACCGGTGGAGAATATAATTGAGTATTGAAGGTTGCACTTAGAATTATCTCGCGGAGTATATCGACTGCTATGTTAAGAATGATTGTTTGTTGATGATCAGTAACATTTCCATCATGGGTAAACCAGTCATTACATATTTTTATCATATCGAATCGTTTATAAAATATTTTTGTTGACCTTCCCGGATGACGACCGATAAAAATGTGATCTCCATACTTCTCGTTTAATTCTCTCAATAATACTGTATCAGTCATCGAATCATCGCCCATGACATCGCACAATTCTTTCAACTTAAAATCCAAATTGGGAGAGTTTTCGATGTAAGCGGTGAGGTTGCGAAATGCTTGTTCATTCTGAGGATCAGGAACATACCGATTGATGTCAAGATCTTGAATCTGTTATCACAGAATTATGATAGGCCTCTTTCACATCGACAAGTGAGAAAATTCCTCGCAATCTACTAGTAACTTCATCAGCAAGTTTATCGTCCCTGGTTTTGACAATTGTTACTAACCTATTCTTCAATAAGTAGTCCCGTACCTGTCGGATCTCTTCATGATAGGGATATAGGGATTGGCCACAAAGAAAACAAAGATCTTGAAAATTGAACTCGCTAATAAATATTTGAGTTTGTGTCGATGATTGAGAAGTACATGCTTCTGTTTGTGAGATGGAAGGCCTCGATGGAGCAGAAATTTCTATTTCACAGGACTCCGGCTGTGAGGTTGACAATGGTGTGCCACTATGGGATTCTGAGCGTAGTTTCTCTGTTGGTGTTGGTTTTTCAGGTTTCGCTGAATATTTCTTCGTACATACATCGTGTACCCGTATACATTCTCCCTCTTCCTATTTCTGCCAAAAGTCATCTCCTCTGATCTTTCCAATTAATTTTTCTAGATAAATTTCACCTAGTGTCACTGTTTTTGTAGATTCTTTCATCTACTCCAAATAGAGATGGCAGACCACATCAGCATCCATTTTGATACTAAAAAGAACAAAACATTTTAAGAAAATGACTTTATTTGAAACTCACTAATCCTTATTTCAAATGTCATAAATATTATCATCTCTTGTTTGGAGAACTTTCGATAACCAATTCAACTGCGAAATCTCTTGCTGGGGTTCTCGATCCGAGCCTTCTTGGGGGGGTAGAAATCGAAAATCGAATTTTACCTAATATTCGTGATCGATACAAAAAAAAGTTTCGAACAAAAAATGTTAAGAATCCTGTAGAAAGAATTTAAGAAAAAAAAATAAAAATTTCACTGATTAGATAAGAAGTTGATTTTGACTTTAGGTTAGAAGTTCGGGGAAATTAATTTCAAGCGGGGTGAGAAAAATTGGGGATGCAGGAAAGATGGCTGAAGTTGAAGTTTTGATGATATTTTGTCAATTTTGTTCCCACTCCGAGCCTTTCAATAATTCTGAGGGGTGAATAATGCGAAATAAGGGTGAAATGCTGAGAACTTTTTTTGTATCGAATTTCATGATGTACAATTATATTTATTACCTCTTACCTCGTATCTTGAGCCGTTTTTAAGTTATTTCGGAAAAACCGTTTTTTGAGGGTGTTTTTGTGATTTTTTCCACCACAACCAGGGGGATGAGAATCATAACGCATTGACCATTTAGATGAGGAGTTTGGGAGGAATTTAAGAAAAAAAACGCAGCCTGGCTGCTAGAAACACCTATTTCACAATTCATTGTAAAATCCTATTCAACGGAAAGGAAGTGTATGTCTCATACACCTACGCAAGCATACATTATACAAGATGTGGTATCTTGAGGTGCATAAATTCAAAAGGTGGAGCCTAATTCGTACATGATAAGTCCGGAAAATGTTGGGGGATGGTATTGAGAACAGTTACCCAAATAATTATTGTAAGATTTAGAGATGAAAAACAGATCATTCGTCTTCACTCGCGACATCGACATCCACACACACACATGTGGGCGGATGATATGTTTTCCATAACGTGGCTTGAACAAAATTTTTACAGGCACACGGCCTGGGAACCGCAATTATCTGGACGCTACGCACCAGTTTGGAAAAACTTTATTAAGCAGTACGTCTTTACTTACATTAAGAGACTCATACTCAAAAATTTCCAACATACCGATATTTTGTACCCAGATAGAAAAAACATTAGCCAAGTGATTCAGAGCTTTTCCAAAATATCAGGAGTTTTTCGACAAGCACATCTCTACCTGTATCAATTCAGTCATGAGACGAAAATTAACGGACAATTATATCCTACTCTGAGAAAAGACAAACTTCTGTCAAAAAATTATGCGTTTGTTCCCAAGATGGTGGTAATTTATTTATACTAAATATCATTCTTCAAACCGAGTTCTGCTGAGTAAATTTACTCAGAAGCTTTCTTTTCTCAAATCAAAAACGTTTCAATGTAAAAACTACTCGACTTATTCCGAGAACGCGCTTTTTTTGTTGTCAATTCAGTATACTGAATCCCTCTACAAAAGGTTTTTCTTTGAGTGCAAGATATTGTTTGTCTCCGACATTTTTGAGTATGAATTTTGAGTATGATATAAGTAAAGACGCACTTCTGAAAAAAACTCTTTTTTTCTTTATGTATTATATTGCTGTTAATTTCAGGCACTTGCTCACCGGAATTATGCAGAGGTCAACAAATGTGTTGTACATACTGCCGTTACGATGATTCAACCAGCCATTTACTGCATATATGCTGATGAACTCGTTGAGAGAGTAAGTATCTGCAGTATTTTCGTGTACGATATCTGATTTTTTGTTAATGTTTTTTTATGAAGATAGATTTTTTCTCGAACACATAAAAAAGTCGTTGTCTCAGCTGAGAAGATTTCTCAGTGTTCATGTCGCTAAGAATTACGTCATCTCGTCAGTTGAGAATAATTTTTCTCTGATAAGAATAGTGGATATCAACTTCAGGATGCGTGTCGCGTAAACGCCCGAAAGGGTATATGCTGAAAGAAAGAAGTTTTATTAAGGATATATTTATCCAAGTACGTTCTTCAAGCTAGCAACTTTTTTCAAACGATCTCTTTCTCTCGGCAAGTAATCTCTTTCTCCGATTATTCATTGTTAAATAGGTTTTTTTTGGTAATTTCTTTGATCAAATATTGTGAACCATTCTTCATTTATTTCTAATTATTCCTTAATTTACCACTTAACTTTTGTTAATCTAACCTTTAGTGATTATATGGCAACACTGCTTATGTATCTCATATAATCTTGTCGATTCGTTCCCTGTTGAAAATATCCTATTCTAAAAGGGACACGTTTGACACAATCGATTATCTCGAAAATCTCGAAATCATGAAGCCACGATTCCTTGTTCGTCCGCTTAAAGTGACGGGAGATTACAAAGTCGTAACTCCTGTACAGAAATCGTTTAATAGAGGCGCGCTGGCACGCGGTACGGTCTCTCGTTCCTTAAATTTAATGGCTAAAAAGTCTTGACGCTTTTATTGAAGCCACGAAAATTGTAGGCCTAAAGGCGACAAAATTTTCAGATTTACCGACAGAATTCGCGTAGAATGGGACTCTAAATATCATTGGTATTTTCTACATTTTCTACAAGAATGGACCTCAGAATTAAAAACGTCGATGAATCTCGCCGGGCGTTCTCAAAAGTTCATGTATTTATGGCATTGAAAATTTAGAATCGCCCCATACAGTTCAAAATTGTTCGACAATGTTGAACATTAATGGCCACCCAGAAAATTTTGAGTAATTTCTCCACTAAAATAAACGAATTTCACTAAAGTCATCATCATTGCACTGGTCAATTTTTTCATCAAATCTCAATTTTTCATACATCACTAAAATTTATTGAATTTCGGGTTTAAAATATGCAAGGTTGTTCAACTATTCAAAGCATTCACCAACGAAAAATGTTATTAGACAAGATGTTTTATTTTCGTGCCTAGAAGAAAATGAGTGAATACACTCATAATATATGCGATACACCGGGTTCAATCCAAAAGGGGGTCTACAATTATATAAGAATATACTTCATTCATTCATTCGTCGTCGTACATCATATATTTATTTAATTATTTATGGTGTTATTTAATTGTGCTCTTCCTGACTTGATACATGCTTCTCGCAGAAGTTTTACACTAGCAGGTTTCGAGCGGCATAGGAAGCTTCGCAAATAGATGAATCTCCTGATTGTCAATTGACATTGTTCAGATCTCTTTCTTTTTACATTTGCAATCGACCTTTAACCTTTGACGTCCTGGACCATGTACTTACTTTCTTCCCTTCTCACGATTGATGTCCAAGATGTTTCTGAAAAATACAAAGTTACAAATTCTTTGAGAAAGAATGAGACACTGAAATAAAGATGAAAGAAGAGCCAATCGGTTTAAAGTATTGAGGAGCGAATCAAGACAGTCAAAATTATTTTAAAAGACGAATGAAAAGAAGATTGGATCTATAATAATACAGTCAGCAAAGACTGATTCATATCTTTAATTACCATTTCATGGGGAATTGAAAGAATTGAGTTTTGAATTGAGAATTTACTCTTAGTCAAGACGTTGAAACTCAGTGTTTAAAGTGCTCGACGGATATATTTTATAAATTATTGTGTAGTTGGTGAATATTCAAATATATATATATATGTGCAAATAATTGTATGTGATTTATATGTGCTCTTTCGCTAAGATACGTATCCATATACATAAACACGTATATATGATTCATTTACTCACCACGTAAATATAATACCACATACTTTTTCTTTTTAATTTTTAATCAACCGTTTTGCTTCAATCGAATTTTCAACTTTTTTTTTGAGACCTCATTTACGGGGTGCAGTGATGTGAGTTACACAAAAAATTATTGAGTCAAAAAAAGACAGTTTTTAGTTGAAGAAATTAAAAAATATAAAAATTTCATAACGATGAATTTGCAAATAAATCTGAAACCATGAGGGTTGAAATTTCACGGGTTGACATGGAATGCCCCATATAGTTCATATATACACGATTTTTCTTATGGGTTTTCATTGAAAGGAGAGGCATTTTTAATAAAAAGGATGGAACTTTAGTTCCCTTAACCATTACGGAAGTTACAAAGAAAAGTTACGTGATGGTATCGTAATTATTCACTGAAAATTTAGACAGAAATTACCGAACGTTCTGGACCGATTCCGGAAAATGTTCTTTAACGACTTATTTACGTTCCCGTGTTATGAAGAGATTCATAATAATTATTGAGCATTTCTCTCCATTTGTGTCGTGTAACATTAATTTATTCCCGTAGTTTTCGAGCTAACTTATGGATTCTTCTAGGTTGAGGAAACGACAACTGCAGCATATGAATGCGCTTGGGTGGGTCAGTCCCAAAATTTCCAAAAATCAGTGCGACTCGTGGCCATGTGTGCGCAGAAAGGTCTAAACTTTCGGACCTTCGGATTTTTCAACGTTGACCTGACACAGCTGACACAGGTGCGATCACCAGAATAATATAAATCAGTAAAATGACTACATAGTCATTCGCAGATTGCAGCAAATGCGGCGAGATTTTTTGCGTTGATAAACAATCTCTCATGATTCGGTCCACGCCCAAAAGCCCATCATAAAAAGTAACAAGACGATATTTTGTGAAAACCTTTAGATGAGAATAAAGTTTCAACCACTGACGTGAGTAGTTGATGTCGTACAGACCATGAACGAAGCTAATTCAGTAGTTTAGAGGTAAAACGATTTAAGTCAATTTTTCTAGAAAATGAGTTCATCATTGTACTGAAATTGTCTCTCGAGGGTATAACGTATGTAATTGCGTTTTTATTGAAAATAGGAAGGATTAATATCGGAGAAAAAACCACATGGACTGTATCTATCTAACATGATCTATAGTTTGGATTCAATCTTGTTAGCCTAAAATATATGAAAACCTGGGATTCAAATTGTGCTATAGAAATGACAATGAACGATTAGTTTTGATAAAGAACATCGAGAAAAAAATAATTTTGAGAAAGTAAAGCTATATGGGTGGTGTCATTTTGAAGTTATCACATATATTAGACAGGTGAATTTCTCCGCTACTAATGATTTGATTGAGCCCCAATTCAATACTATAGTGAATATTGTCAGAGGAGTAATCTCGGCCATAACCCCCACTCTCCGAAATCCCCACTTGTGGCCGTGTTCCCCACCAGTCGAGCCGAACAAAACCGAAGTTACTTCTTTGGTAATATTCAGTATAAACGTTAGTATCATGAGAGGAAGATTGCACATTTCCAGTTAAAATATCTCAATTTTTGCGAGCGCTTCTCGGAACGACTATACGCCTTACATGTATGAAGAAACCCGTACTTCAAAATTTCCAAGTAATCAATATTTCCCACAGAGAAAACACACTTTTGTCAAAAGATTTTGTACTTTTCCAAAAAATGATGAGTAATAAATAAACAAGGCAAACCAACTCAAGTAATTTCAATATTGAAATTTTTTGGAGTTGAAAAAAAAAACTTGTGAGTAAACTCACTCAGCTAGATTTGATTTGAGGAATTCCACGTTTCCTAGGAGTGAATTATTATTATCTTTAGAATAAATGCATCATTTCTCGACTGAATATTTTTTCTTCGAATAATAGTATTTTTCACGCCTAGTCCAGAAAAAGTGAATCTGACGAATGCGGCTTTATACTCTGAGCCGAACGCGAGGATATAACGCACATGAGTCAGAATCACTTTTTTTGCCGTGGCTATGATGTTATTCTATGTCATTGTGGCCGGCCGCGATGACGTAATTTTCGAAAAAAAATGTGATCTAACTCGTAGTCTGACTTAGATAGAAATATCTGTGAGTTCTGCAAGTTTGAATATTGAGATAAGGCAGATCTTGTCAGATTGAAAAATGCAAGGTTGCGACCACCCTATTTCTATTCTGAATCTGTAAAGTAGCAACTGGTTTGATGCATTAGCTTAATATAACCCTAATCTTTCCTTGCATATGCAAGATTGTCTCTACAATGTTCTGTTACCTCAACACAAGCCTATCCCTGCCGCGCATATGCAAAGTTCGAACTACCCGTCTACGTGGACTGGATATAATCTTCAATAGGCAAAACAGACAATATTGTCGGTACATCATTTGGTAAGTCGTCATCATCCGCGCTAGTAAGTGCATGGCGATGCAATGAAATAACCTTGGTTTAAGGGTGAACTGCATGCCTCAACTCATTTGGACTCAGTCGTATCAAAAGATCCATCGGAAGATATGTGTATATTTTCATTTCTATATTGATAAAATATTGCGCATGCCACATTTTAGGATATTCTATAAAATATTATAAAATATTTAGAAAGCTACTGCAGAAACCGATCTTAAGGTTACTAACGTTACCCGAACTACGTTCACCCGAATATATCGTAAACTTGCAACCTAATGTCAAGGTTACGCCATGCAAGTGACCATTATAACAACTGTATGCAAGTGACAATTTCTGCGTGGGATACAGGACATGTCATTTTCGTCTTTAAATGTTCAGAAATCGGAACATGATAAAAAGAATGCTGAAATGAAATTTGCTAGCTTCCGAATAATATTACACGAGATCTACTGCGCACTCCGTGCGCCGAATTCGAATTTCGACTTCGGATTCGAGTTGACCAATAAGGAATCAGTCTTACGAGTTTCGACTCAGGCGAACTTCATTTACATATCTCTGCTTTCATGATAAGGATACACGTTGCGTATCATTAGTTGAAATGCTGAAAAAATTATTTACCAAAAATCTGCGAGCGTAACGTGACAAAGTTTACATCCATTGTGATGTTTAAAAATGTCATAACATCCATATCGACCGAAATATAGGAATTGAAAAATAACCACTATAAAGTTATTTTCATTAGCTCTGAAATGGTGCAACGTGTGTATTTGCGACCAAAGAATAGAGGGCTTAAAGAGCTAAAATCATCGTCTCACCGACAGTGGCAACGATTTTCTTAATAAGGAGGATTTGAATGGTTTCTGTAATACATTTTTTATTTATTTCTATCTTAAGCTTTTATGTCTTCTAGGTTAACAGCATTAACCTCAAACTAAAGACCATATTCAATAGGTGGCCAGTTACAACTCTACTTCCAAACGAGCTATGTCGGCATAAACGAAAGAATAATAATTTGAAGAGAATGCAAAGTGGACCTAGCTTTCCCAACTAAAAACAGCAACAGAGATACTCAGAATCAACAATTTAATTTATATTATTATCCAATATTAGTAAACAGTAAATGACACAATTCAAGATACAGATAATAATTCAGACAAAAATAAATAATAAATTAATTCTAAATAAAAACATTTCATATTACTCAGTACTTCTCTAATCTATACCACCCATTGCAGATTACCATAAGATCGAATAAACTCAAACAACCCACGCAAATTTGAGAAAATAATATAGACGTTGAAAAAAAACAACTGCAAGCGGTGAACCTATTACTACCAACAGTTTATCCAAAATCAAATAAAATTAATTAATAAGTTTGCACAAATTCACAGCAGTTATTCAATTCCGTTTAATTTACTTCGTTCGACTCAACCCGGTTCACCGCTTGCAACTACCGCTAGTGCTTTTAGAACTACATTAAAGGAACTTGACTGAATGATCGAATGCAGCGGACTATCGCTCCTCGATTCAGTGGCAATTCACCGCCGAATTATTCACTACTAAGTAATATATTATGTATTGCGGAGAACTTTGCTGCTTATTTCCCTTCCGAGAGCTCATTACAGATTCATGGATTAACGAGTCCCTCCCACCCTACTAATTCATCATTCATGTGCGTCGAATATCTGAGGGAAATGCGTGATAAGCTAGAAATTATATCAGTTGAGGGATTCCCCCTTGAACATCGCATGCTATGAGCGTAATGGCATCACCTTCACTCAATTTCCTGACACCGACGATCGGTGATCAGCAAATCTTGAGGACAATTTCCATAGAAAAATTTATCAAAACTGACCTATTACAGCAATAGATCATGGGGAGAAGAAAACAGACTTCAGTCAATACAAATAACGACTCCGTTTATTTCGAGAAACTATTCAATGTTTGTCGTGTTGCCCTGCGCTTAGCCGGTATCATCGGCGTGGATTCGATGTTTTCAAAATCTGAAAGAAGAGTTTCTGATCTGAGAGGAATTTACTACGTTGTCGGAATACTACCTCCGATTCTCAGTACGTCGTGTGAAGTTCGCAGCTTTGTTCATTGCTGGAGAACCGACATCTACGTAGGGTTGGAGATATGCACTGTCATCCTCAGCAGTCTAGTCGTCATAACCCAGGGTTTTATCATGTACTTGTCCAGGCGGGAATTACTGAATTTGATCAGTCAGGTATGCGAACTATGGGACAAACAATTAATGAGTATTGAAAACAATATAGTCAAAAAGGCTAGAAAAGCCCAATCCTTGACGAAGGTCTACGCTGCCTTGGTTGTTTTTCTGGGGAGTAGCTTCACGCTCCGACCGTTCTTGTACGTTCAACTTATTAACAAAACACCTAATTGGAATTTTTCATAATAAAGTTTTTCCTGCAGCTCAATTTTCATCCAGTTTATCACTAGTACCGAGAATGATACGTATGACTTAAGCCAAACCGCTTACCCCGCGATGTATCCTTTCGCAACGGATACAGTAGGAAAATATCTAGCATGCATTACTGTTGAACTACTGCTGTTTGTCAGTGTAGCTGCATGGTGGACTGGTGCTGACATGGTGTTTCTCCAGCTGGCGACTCACCTGTCTTTGCAGTATGAGGTACCAATTTACTTATCAATCAATCCCTGATCTTTGCTCAAAGGATAATCTTGGTTTGCTAGATCCTGTGTAAAAGTCTCACGGAAATGATCACCGAAGACTTTGCCCCAACTGATTCTTCTCTGATCCAGCAGTTGAGTTCCATCGGCCAGCGACACAGTCAATTGATACTGTAAGAGCAGAATCACGTTCATTTGAGGATATGATGATAATACGTTCTTTTCTAGGCTGTCCCTGAAATTAAAACAGATTTTCAGTCCAATATTGTTCTGTCTGATGATCGTCACAGGTGCCAATATTTGCATATGTGTTTTGAGCCTTGAAAAGGTGTGGTCGTGTGCGGAGGAAAAGTCAAACATATCCGTATTTCGTAATTGATAACACTTTCAGGAGATCTTGAGCAGTAATACCGCTGGAATTATCAAATGTCTCATCCACACCTCTCTTACGCTAATTCAACCTGCCATCTACTGTAAATACGCAAATGATTTGAATGAATCGGTGAAACTCATTACAAGTAATCACATTGAAATCGCTCAGGATATAGTAATGAAGGTTAATTCCTCAGGCCGAGTTGATTGGAAATGCTGCATTCCAGTGCAATTGGATTAACAAGAGCAAAAACTTCAAGAAGCAATTACAACTAATGACCTTGAATGCGCAAAAAGGGATCGCCTTCAGAATTTGGGGATTCTTCACTGTGAATTTGAATCAATTAACGCAGGTAGATTTAATGTTCATCGATTGACACGTTGAAAAAATTTGTACGAAAACCAAAAGTTTTATCAGAATTCTTTTTACAAATATTAATAAATTAATGTTAATATTATGGTAAATCTGTATAGTATCTTCACGAAAAGTGCCCAATATCTTGACTAGGTCAGATGTCTTGACTTTGTGGGGTTCGTACTAATCACGTAGGATGGTCGAATTGATCTATAGATGGGGCCAACCTCAACACCAACATTTCTTAAGCTTGGGAAATAGACCGGCCCTATGTTTTGTCGATTTTTGGATAACTTCAGCCCGATTATCGGTGCCTGGATTAGCGCAATGGGCACAGCCAATTGATAGTCTGATTTCATTATTTATAGCCTAAAGTGTTAATAACATTTGTTTTTTATTGAAATTCTTCCCAGAATCAAACATTTCACGGCCATTGAGAAAAGCTGGTAATTAAAAAGAATAACAAAGTGAACAGTAAATGCTCGGCATATGATGGAGTACTGATACACTCATTAAATTAACTAACGCAAAGTGAAAAAAAAGTTTTCATTATCATGATTTATTAGTTGTCCCTAACCACGGCAGTAGCACTATCGATCCTGGAAAAACCGAAGTGACAAGTTCCGATTTTGCATGCGACGAGACTCAAACTCAAACTACACGACGAAATAAATTTTATCCACTGGTTTTTAGGTTGCTATTACAACAGCCATAAATTTGATTCAGTTGTTTTTGCGCATTTCTGTCCTTCTTCGATCAATTGATAGACTCATCAGCAGATGCTTGAGGATTATACTTTTTATTCTTCTCCCTCTGTTGTTAAATAATATATTGCCTGCTCTTCTCATTGCATACCGTTCACCGTCGAAGACGTTAATTCTTCGAATTGAGGCCCCTTTAATTCAACATTTTGAACAAGAATGAGCACCAGTGTGACCGAGATGTACTACAATGAGAACACGAGCCGGGGCGTCAGCAATGGGAAAGCGAATGTAAACGAAATATAATTTATCATTATAAACAATAACTCCATTATTGTTTACTTCTGAAAAATCGTTGACAAAAGAATTGAAGAATTCATGAGTATCAGTTGATTTTGAAGAACCTCACCATACACCGACGATTTCTGGTTTGCAATGGGGAATATTCGCTATTCAAATTTGAATATAGGGCAGATTTGAATGTTAGTTTGAGCGTCCAAGGTAGCTCCATCGGTAATAAAATGCATTTGCAAAAAATCAGAAATTATCTCATTAGCAGTTCGCTGAAAAATTGACAGAATGGCTCAGTGCATTCATATGTGAAGATATTCCTCACCAGTTACATATATAAGTTCCGTCGAATTGCGCGGTGTAGTGAGCATTGAGCGACAGTCAATAGATAATCGTTTGAAACAAGAATGAGTGCAAAGTGTAGCAAGAACCTTATTCATCTGCTGATAGAACAGTTGCTTCTAACGAACATAGTAGCCAACTTTTGAGAAAACAAATCAATTTCATCCGATTCGTCTTGTGCCTCTGGCGCGTCTGAGACATTCAAATCGTTCAGCACTTCGGGCTCAGTGGGGATAATCAACATCGTTTGGCGCGCATGGGAGATTCAAATCATTTGGCGTGCTAGAGACATTTGAATCTTGAGGCTCATTCTTAGTCGTTAAATCAGCCGTTTCGCAATGAAAGTGTGGGAATAGCAATTACGTGGGCCTCCATTGCATCTTCATTTTCAGGAGCCACAAGCTCTATAGGAACTAACTTAATGCTGATGACATTGTGATTGTTCAATTCGGCATTAATTCGAAGTTATTCCCGTTCACGACGGGCCATGTTCTGAATTCACTGTACCCGACGTTTATGTTCATGACCGAGCTCATCTGGATGTTTTCGGCTATGCTTAATACTCAATCGATGTATGATTTACGGAATTCGCAATCGGACAACGTTTGAATAGAAATTCACCGCACCAGTGGACAGTTCAAATATCGGAGAAATCATTCGATTATTATCAGATTTTTCTCCAATTTGATAGTTTAAAAAACATATTTCTTTTTAAGCTTTGTTTCGCAGAAGTCAGGCGCATCCTTTGGGGTGCCCTTAATTAATCCATTCTATTTTTCGTAGGTTAAGTTAGGTTTAAGTTACTCTTTTTTGTCACCGTTGGGCAACCCATCCCCACATATTCCTTACCCCCGTCCCCATTTCCCCTCATTCCTACACTCACTCACCGCTGAGGAAGAAGAGGATAGGTGGGAGAGAGAACACCCCCCACGAAGAAACGCACCACGTGACCCGGAAGGGAAAAGGACATCCATCGGCAGAGCCCCCCGCTCTCATTATTAAGAGGAGAACACCCACTGACGAGTGCATCCGATTGGCTCCGATTATCGGTGATAACCGGAGAAGAAGAAATCAGGATGATTGGCAGCCATTACCCGTGCCACCGCTACCCCACGAGTCCCTGCCCCAAAAAAGGGGGTGTTTGGAGAAGATCTTTAGAGAGAGCCTGAAAAAGGAAGGAAGGAGAAGAAACCTCGAGGAAAACCGAGAGGATTACTGCGACACCATTCCCCTGGAGTGCCCCATTTTTATTCCCCGCCCCAACGAGTGTCCCGGCCCCTTAATATAATTTTTCCCCAACGGTGCGCCTCCATTAAATTCATTTTCTTTTGGGTGTCAGTTAAGCCCCTTATCATATATTAATTTTCCAGTCGCCCCCCCCCCCTCACTTCTCCCCTTTTGCAGGTTTGGGGTCACCCCTTTTTGATTTCGCGTAGCCGCAAGGGAGTTAACCTTACCCCCCACTCTCGAGTTAGTTACTAGTTGAAAGCCTATATTATTTTTTGTAGCAATATTTGTTGTAAAGAAACGTGAATAGTGTAAAGTTTAATCTGCATAAACCCCACCCCGAGTAATCATTTATGGCGTATTCTTATTAATAGGCTCATACCTATCTCATCAGTATTATAACAGTACGCTATACTTGCATTTCGAATGGATATGATACCAGTACGACATACTTACATATATGCACATACGTCTTTCGCGAATGCGTACGATACCAGTACGCCGTACTAGTATGGGTTTTAAGTACCACATTTCATAATGGCTTGGAGCGGTACAACGTACTCTACTATAGGTAGAGTATTATGTAGTATATTACGCAACGAGTGCGTCATGGATTTTTTGGCTCGTGGGAGAGTTGTAAGAGTTGTAACACGAGCCGAAAGCGCGTTTTACAATCCCACAAGTCAAAAAATCCATAACGCGGGTATTGTGTATACTATTTTATATCATTGCATCCGTTCTTCGCGATTCTATCGACCAAAGCGAGGTTAGAATGGCGTGATTTCAAGCACCTATGACATAAATACCATACCAATGTCGTCATCATATGGTACAGGTACGATACCAGTACGTCGTACTCCTAAAATCAAAATGGTACGTCGTGCGAAGTGGGTAAGAATAAGGATGTATGCTCTAACGTCAATGGCCAAGTGTCAAAATGAGTGGAAATGAAACTTCATCTAATATCCACGATCAAAGAAGATTCATAACTTCAAAGCGCAAGCAATGAGTACAGAAAGCCGTTGAAAGTGCCCCACCATTACTGTTTCATTACCATGAACCTTGCCGACATTAGCCAGCTGTAGAAGCAACGTTGCCAATATTTTAAAATCGTAATGGCGGCCACACAGATCCTATCAAAAATCAATCACAAATTTCTCGCTTATTATGCCCGGTACCATAATTTTTCTTGCCGGCGATAAAATCTATGTATTTTTGAAAATATCGCGATCAGTTTTCTTTCACAAGATTGAGTATTTAAAGTACCAGTTACTTTGATCGAAGTGCACGCCGTCACAATAATACTCGCATAAGCGGATCGACAACACATGTTGCTGTGCATGGTTTTCAGAAATCAATTTCTCATTGGCACCCACCGATTCAAGGGTTGAAATTTTCATTAACGTGTCTTTATAGATAATGAAGTATAATATAAAAAAAGATCAGAATACCGTTGGGTGGTCGGGCTTTGGCTAAATATTAACAAAGAAATAGAATTGTATTTTTTTATGAAATTTTTCAACTGTATACGGGTTACATCTGAATGAACCATATAAATCATGGAAATATATGAAATTAATGTATAAATGTTTTCAGATTGGGAGTACTGCTGCAAGTTTCTTCGCACTGGTTAACAGCGTATCATAAGTCAAAGAAGCAATAATCACAAAGAGTATCTGTAAATGTCATAAACCACTGTATGAAGCTGTCCGCTGCTCTGATTTGATTGAATAGCTAAATAGGTACAGGAATTATTGAGTATAATAATTTCACCACTTTCCGAGAGCAAACTGAAATTTTCTTCATGATTCTACATACTCAATACACTGAGTGGATCTTCCCAGAATGACGACGCAATCCCATTTACAACAAAGGTGCGCTCTGTCGAACGATGCCACCATTAAAATAGTTCAACCAACCAGTTCAGAAATCATTTTCACCTGTAATTGAGGGGCTTTTAACAAGCTCAATGGAGATGGTGTCATGGCGCCAGTAAATAGCGATTCGGTAAATTCGTGAATTCATTATATTTTCTAAAAGTATATAAATTCTAAAAGTATATGAATTGATCTGGCGTAAATGAATTCTCGTGTGTTTATGCCTTCGTGAGTTGGGGTCTACACTTTGAATGCTGATAAAATAGAACCATTAATGTGGACGAACTGGCAGAGCCTTCCAAGGACCCGTGAATCCTGATTTTCCTCATAATGAAACGGAACAAAGAGCACGGAATAACCACTGTACACTGATTAGATGATAGTGGAAAGTTTACAACAGATTGTGTTGCTTCGATGTTGTGAGCCGCTATGTTGCAAAGTAGGTAGTCACGAACTAATGCCTGTGGTAGCATCAATTTTTCACGTGGCCAAAGAACTTTTCAATTAATGAGAAAACACGGTAAGATACCACGTGTAACTATTTACAGAATTACAGAAAACATTCCACATTAGAAATGCACCACTGTCACCCTCGGGTTATGTTGAATGTTCAGGACATGCAGAACCTTTAACCATTTCTTCCTTTCCTAATCCTGTCCTAATCCATTTGTCATCCGACCCCTCATGTTTTAAATGTGCTAGAGTCGAGGCTAGAGTTTTCGATCCGTTTCAGTTTCATCGGGAAAATATGGGTCACAAGAAAACAATATCAACTAAACGATGACTTGCAGGTGAATAGCGTATTGCAAGACAGTTGGAGAGAGCCGCTGCATTATTGATTACTGAGATATGCATTATGTATTACATCGAAATACGCTGCTATTCTTCTATTCTGAGATGTCATTACAGATTCACAGATAACGAGCTCCTTCTGCGCAACCAGAGCATTATTCATATGCATAGAGTGACCAAGGGGATGCACTCTAGGGTAGGGATGCGCGAAAGGTAGGGATAAAATCAGTTGTGGAATTCCCTGCTCGATACAACGTTTTAATCGGGATGAAATCAGTTGAAGGATTTCCAGTTCGAGGAAATTGTTGAGGAGAAAACATTCCCATGAATCAATAAACGCACTGACTCCTCCGATTTTGGGAAACTATTCCATGTCTGCCGGATTGCCCTGCGTCTGGCTGGTATAATCGGTGTGGACTCAATTTTCTCAAAATCCAAACGAAGAGTTTCCGATCTCAGAGAAATCTACTACATCTTTGGCATAGTCCCTCAAATTCAAATTCTCTCGGGTGAAATATACAGTGTTCTGCACTTCTGCAAGGTAGACATTTTTGTGACGATGGAAATATGCACTGTAGTCATCAGTAGTGTAGTCGTTATGATTCAACGATTTGTCCTGTATTTTTCAAGACACGAATTACTGCATTTGATGAGTCAGGTATATGAATTATGGAATAAACAGCTGACCTACGTTATTGAAGACGATGTAGTTAAAAAGGCTAGAAGTGCCTAGTCACTGACGAAGATCTATAGTGCCTTTGTTATTTTTCTGGGAGGCAGCTTTACCATTCGGCCATTTTTATATGTTCAATTTAGGAAAAAATACACCTTATCAGAATTTTCCATTTTAATATTTTTCCCTCTAGCTCAATGCCGAGAATGACACTTGAGTCAAACTACCTATCCAGCGACATATCTTTTTGCGACGAATACATTTGCATGATACTGGGCATGTAGTACAGTCGAATGACTACTATTTATCAATGTAGCTGCATGGCGAACTGGTGCTGACATGGTCTTTCTTCAAGTGGCAACTTATTTGTTTCTACAGTATCAGGTATGATGCCATGCACCAACCAATCCGTGATCCTTGTTCAGGTGACAATCCTAATCTACTAGATCCTAAGGAGCAATCTCATGGAAATCGTCTTCACCGGCCAGTCCCCTTCTACTAATTCTTCTGTGAGCCTACAGCTGGATATCATCGGCCAACGACACAGTCGTCTGTTATGGTAAGAAAAGACTCGCGTTGATAAATATTGAAATTAGCTCGCTCACCCCTGATTTTTTCAAAATTTCAGTGAAATACGTGTCATGTCAGTTACGTAAGTCTCAGTACTGTACAATGTAACATTTCTATTTATCTTAACAAGAGTCAGAACGCACACTTGCACACATGGGACAATATGTCTTCCATCACAGATTATTAATCCGCAAGATTATACTGTTAGAAGATTGCTCCTGAAATTTTATAGAAGTACCTTAGCATGTTTAAACACAACACATTCATATGAAATTTCTTGGTATTACTGATAAGTCAGTCAGGCTCTGAACTTCTCAGGTATGACAAATTTTGAAAGATCTTGTCTTGAAGTAAATTAAGATACGGCGCAGAATTGACGCCATGTACATTTTCCATGAGAAATTTCGTGCACAGGACAGTACATGTGCGCCAATGAAAGATGACGTACGAGTGGGAATGAGTATGTCGTGATAAGTCGTCTCCAATGAATGAACAGTGAGGAATAAGTGTGAACAGATTTCAGGCGTTAACTTTCGAGAGTTTCGAACCTGCCACCAACCCTTACGTTTTCCATCCTCTGGAATTCAGTTTGTTGTTCGGATACCTGCGAAAATTAGAACATTTTCGCTTTTTTCTTAAAAAAAAAATAGGTGGCGAAGCTAATGCAAATATTAAAAATTACATTTATTAGAGCTAATACTAATGATCCGGCCGTGTCTAGATTGTCTCTGAAGCTGAAAAAAATCTTCAGTCCAATACTGTTCTGTTTGATGGTCGTCACAGGTGCTAATATTTGCATATGCCTTTTAAGCCTTAAAAAGGTGACACTATATGAAGATCAATATCCAAGTATATCAGTATTTCCTAATGGATGAAGCTTTCAGGAAATCATAAATTCTAATACGGTTGACATCGTCAAATGTCTAGTACACACCTCCCTCCAGCTGATCCAGCCTGCTAGTTACTGCAAATTTACCAATAATCTAACTGAGGCGATAAGCATCAGCACAAATGGTCACATCAAAACGCTGGGAAATATTGTATATGTATAAAGTTATTCCTCGGGCTCAGTTGATGGGGAATGCAGCATTCCAATGTACTTAAAAGAACCAGAGCAAAAGTTTTAAAAAGCATCTGCAGCTGATGATTGTGAGTGCAGAGAAGAATTGCTTTCAGAATTTTGAGATTCTTCACAGTAGATTCACAATATTTATAATATATTGATAAAAGACCAGAAATGTTGTTAGAAAAACCTACAACTTTCTCTAAAGAATTCTTATGAATCACTGTTGAAGTTCTCTTCAAACTAGGATTCTATTAACTTGTCTTTGTCTCAGCCTCATTTCTGTCGATGGTTATCACAATTAGTCATCCATCAATATAGTAAGATTCTACCTTAAATGAACACAGGAATTCATTACTCCAGTTTATTACGGAACAGTTGAAGCCAGATCTCATTATAGGACAAATAAATTACATGAACAATTCATCAAAGGGATAATTTCACCGACGTCGGTAGCTCAGTGGCTAGATGCGAGCCTAGTATTCTGAAAGTTGTGAGTTTGATTCCCCGTTGAATCGAATTTTTCAGGCACCGGTGGTCCGAAGGTTGCTAATAGAGCAACCGTTTGTACCGACATGGTTTTTCTTGTGGTTTCCCATGTCACTCCTATGTTCTATAGAAGAGTGAATACAGTACAGTGTAGGATGCACGCCGCATGGATAGGATGGGATAGGGTCAAATAGCCCAGAACAGGGCAGAAAGGGCCGAAATATAAAAAAAAGGGGGGATAATTTCACACACAAACAACCATTCACAAGGACACGCTATCGTTTACATACAAATTTTCAACACAAATTTCAATCGACATATTATGGGACGATTTTGAACACTGTACGTGATATACACGGAGAGAAAAATACATCATTATTTCGTGTGAGTCCATTCAAAAATTAGTGTGCTATTCACCAACCCATGGGACCAAACCGTGGTCAACGGAAAATTCGGATGTGGCGCCCCAATTTTTAAAGGAGTCTCACAGAAAAGTAGCGTAAGTGCTTCAAAAATTAGGGTGCCACATCCGAATTTTTCGGGTGGGTCATTCGAATTTTTTGTTGACCACGTTTGGTCCCATGGGTTGGTGAATAGCACGCTAATTTGTGGTAGAATTTTTTCTCAGTGTATAAGACAGCTTGAACACAGAAATTGGAATCAATATATCCATTTTTGCAAACTTATGAGAGCAGTGATGGCAAGCAGTGATTCCAATAAATGAACTATAGTATGGTATTACGGTGAAAAAATTGTTCGTTAAATATATACCTTTTTATTACCCATTATCTAGTCCACCGATCCGATTTTTTCGGCGCGTATCTAGATTTAAGGCTTTTTTCTTCGTGCTTCCGAATCATTGAGAATGAGTCTCCGGAAACAATTAGAACAGAAGTTACGCGCATTTTTTTATACTCCTTGCGTTACGCAGGGCCACGGCGGGGACGCGGCGATGTTAAAGAGCCCGTCACTTCAAACCCGAAATTCGGTTTATTATTTCTTGGTAGACCTGTTCCAGACATTTACCAAATTTTCTGTTAATGTGGAATTCTCACAAAAGACTTTATTCTCCTCTTCCTTCAATTTTACCAGTGGATGAATAACCAGATACTGAAATTATCGAGTCAAATAATCTAAGCCCTTTGCCAAGAAAAATAGTTCATTGCATGGTAAGAAAAAAATTTCCGGGAAAGTCGGTAAGATGTTCTTGATGATCCATGGCCCATTAAATATATGTTGCTCTGACACTAATCCTAATTAATCTATTAGCTGAGAACTCGCCATTATCTTCTGCTTAATAATGAACTATGTCAAACAAATGAATTGCATTGTCAATAATGGAGCCAGTGTCAACAGAGATTTAGATTTTCAGAATCTCCATTGCTGTACCAAAGCTACTCAATAAAAATTTACGGAGAAAACAATCCCAGAAAAAGACTAGTTTGCAATCGGTTCTTTTCCGCGCTATGGAACGGCTTGATGAAAAACATGTATTGAAATTTAAAGAAGGACTGCGTCCTCTCATGTCGTAAACCATAACTTTTATTCTTGGCTTTCCCCGTTAGAATTTTCCCTTTGTCGTCCTAGTTAGTCCCTTGGCAATTCTCCTCTAGTAAAGACGTGCCTTCGTCGTGCTAATAAAGATGAAACATACCTGAAATAAAGAGCACTTGCACCCATATTCCAATACTAATACATTGTTGTTCAACGTGATATGCGAGTTCTTAGAATTCACTCAAAAAGGGTGTGGATCTTATTGCTAAATTTTCAAGCAGAAATAGTTAAGCTTTCACTGGAGGAAATTGCCTCCTGGAAAACAATTTTCTTAAGGCGAAAAAATGTTATCCAGCAGAACATGTCGTTCAGCAAGGTAAATTTTTTCCTTCAGTGAAGCAACAAATGAACGCTGGAGGTAAACTCATTCTTAAAACGAACTAATCGATACTGACTCTGCACTCACATAATATATCTGAGAAATCGATAACAGCTGTAGGAAAAGAAAAAGTTACGGTCTGGAGAAACTTCGACGATGAACGGCCTTTGGAGACTGGACGTCTGCCGCCACCCACCGAGAGCCCCACCATTCCTGAATCATCGATGAGGTATCATGATTTCTTCATTAGAAACCATCCAATTCTGATGAATCCATCATAACGAATTCATAAAATGATGGGCTATCGTCAAAGTCTCTATTATTTATGCATTAGCACAGGTTAGTGGAGAAAACTTCGTCAGTCTCACATCAGAAATGAATCAGACCTCATCGTCTGAGCTTGAACCCTGAGGTTTTTCCAAGTATTATTCCCCATAAAGATGTTCGACAAATCCGAACATCCCGTCCCTCTACCCGAAACTGATTCTCCAATAGACTTTGCGAGGCTCTTCAATGTCTGTCGTGTAACTCTTCGGGCACTTGGAGTTTTCACTATAAATGAGATTTTTTCAAAATCCAAGCGAAAAATTTGGGACATGAAAGCCCTATACTACATATTCTGGCTCTTTCCCACATTTTTCGCCAACTTCTCAGAATTTCGGAGTGTCTTGGGCTTCTGGGAAACGGATGTCTATTACGCGTTGGAGGTGACAACTGCTGTACTGAGTGGTGTTATTGTCATGGCGCAGGGATTCTTCGTGTATCATTCTCGTAATGATTTACTGATACTGATAGCGGAGATACGACAGTTGTGGCAGAAGCAATTGGCTCGTAACGTCGCTGATGTTATCGTGAAGAAAGTCAAAAGAGCCAAGTTCTTCACGCAAGTTTATGCTACACTCATTATTCTTCTAGCGATTACTTACTCAGTTAGGCCTTTTCTGTATGAATGAGAGAAAAACTTTTGTTATATTGATAGAAATATTTGGCTACCGTTCTGAATGGCACGGAATAAGGATATTACACTAATTGTTCGAATTGTTAAGTGGTTAATTTGGCGGACTACCAAGTGCGAAAACCCCTAATTAATATATCGCGCATGCAGAAAAAATATCGAATGAAAGATAAAAACATCAGACCATAAAGCTTTGAATTACGATATTTGAGTATGCGATATTTTCATCAATACCATTCCCCACTGTGATATGTTGACGGTATCATATTATTTCCGATAATATTTATCATTACGATATTTTCCACCATAATATTGTTGCTTATTTCTTATCGTTGTTCCCCTAGAAGTTTCAGGAACAATCGTTATTTTAAGATTACTTAGTTTTTCAGCTTCGCTTCCTCCTCTCAGATGGATTCAATTTATGTACCTTTTATTTATTGATTAAACCTCAAGCTTTTAATACAGCAATATTGCGATGTAATATTTTTACGCTGTGTTATTTAGAGCGGCCACTAAATATTCGGTGCACTGTTCATTTATCAATGAATGTTTTCATAGTTTGCTACTTACACATGTTATATCTGGCAAAAACGAGACTTATGATATGAGTCAAACAGTTTTCCAAGCAATATATCCATGGAAACTTGATAATTTTTACAAATACATCGTTCATATCACGGCGGAAACAGTGGTATTTGTTAACGTCTCAGCATCTTGGATAGGTGCTGATATGATATTCCTGCAATTGGCGACTCACTTGGCCGCACAATATCAAGTAAATCTGGTAAACGATCAAATATATGTAAGGTATTCCAGAACCAATCGCTTACTCTCACTTGCTTGAAAATTTGTCCTGATTTTTTCTGCAGTTGACAATATTGAAAACTTATCTTTTGTATGCTTTCAGATTTTTTCAACAGCACGAAACAATTTTTTCCTTTTGAAATTTCACAAATTCGGTCAGAATACTCCACAAATGAAGAAAATCGACTTTGGTTGGTGATAGGATGCAGTGAATTTTTTTATATAGTATACAGTCACATATTCTATTTTATACGAATATGCAGGGTATCCCATTTGAAACAATACATACAAATGTCTTGTAAGGAGGCCAAGTGGCATGCAATTTTTGGAAATACTAGGGTGGAAACGCGCTTCGCTTGCGTTAGCTAGATTTTATCGTTTCGATACTAATACTTGCTCTAGATACTCAATGTATTTTATGCATAATTTCTTCAACAACAAACGGAATATCGAATTGTAATGATTTCAGTCACTGTGACTAATGAATTGTTTTCACTCATTTATGATTAAGTTCAAATACCCTGAAATTTTCGTAGATCGTTATTTGAATGTCCATAAAATAATCGATCTGTCGCTCAACTCTTCGTCATCTGGTCGATATGATTTGGCTGATAGTTGATAAGCGATCAATCGATCGTCTTATAGTATTTCAAATAATATTTTGTTAAAGTTTTATGGTTTTTGACCAGGAAAAAATTTATTATTGTGAAAAAGCTTCCGTGATAAACACTCGGAAGTCGTTCGTGATAAACACCTGAAAAGTTTTCGGCGTCATATTTGAAGAACTCAATGAAATCTATCAACTGACATACGATAAGTCTTTATTCTTCAAGTTCTATACATGGCGAAAGTCTAATTTTTAGCGTGGGACAACACAAAAAATTATAACAATCTGCTATAATTTGTAGAAAATTCGATTGAATCATAATTAACCATTGCACCCCCTCAAAAAACAATAAATATCATTCAAAGAGATATATGAATGATTTGATTTGCGTGTTGCAATAGTTATAGAAACACCTCAACTAAGGGAACTTCACAAAACAAAATCAGAAAAAACAATTTCATGACAAAAATTCTCATTGATTATCCCATTGAGGAGTGGAGCTCAGCCTTTCTGCATGTTCCCATCATGCCAACGATTAACATCACTTTATGAAAACGGAGTTGCAATTTGTAATTCATCTACACTAAAAAAAAAAGACATTGTTTTGCGAAGTATATTTGTTTGAGCCAATGAAATGTCTGAAATTCTCAAACGAGAATCCGCTTTAAATTCAAGTCAGAAGAATATTTGATTAGCAGAAACTTGTTCGAAGAAATTCTATTGCATTCAATTGATTGGAATTGCCTTTGAGGTTCAGGATCTAATATCTATTATCTCCGGCGTTGTTATCACTTTTATGTCCCAGAGCAAAAAACGCGATCCTAGCCTCGCTTCGCTCGATTCGATTTTTATCCCTTGGGACATAAAGTAGCATATGCACCACGGTCGAAAAGCATTTTCTCCCGGGTGGGTGTATAATATACTATTATCGTTCAAGGCGCTTTTGTATGCCGCGAACATGCGTGAGACTCGATTCAGGAGTCGGAAAATGGTAGAACACGGACCTTGGCGAGCCTCTTGTCCAGATTGCTACTCGATTTCCTGAGTAGTCTGGAAAAAACCATTTTACTGCTCCGGGAATGAAATTTACATTATGAAATCATTACTACTATCACAGTATTAGTGAAATTATTATTACAGTAAAATTCCCATTGGTTGAAATGCCCCGCTTCTACGGTTCTTCGCGCGATTCTAAGAACAAAATGTGGGATTCGATGTACGTTGGGAGAATTCATAAGATTAGAACACTCGATTTGACGTTTAGAAATAATATATAACGTCAATAATATTCGTTAGGTCGAAGGTGCTTGAATTAGCGCGGATTATATCGAAGATGTCCTGCGACAAGGATGGTGCGCTATACGTCATTGGTATGGAATTGTGTTGCTAAGCCGAGCAATGTGTGAGGCTGGTACGGTTTGAACAGATATGTAAATAAATGTAAATATGAAGGTACATTGTAGCTTCACGACAAAAAAAATAATGAGATTCATTTAAAAACTTACATAGTGAATCGTTAACTCATTGAAATGGAAACACTTGCATCTAAAGTAGAATGTATGGGGTATCCTATGACAAATCGACCACTTTTGAACCCGACCCCTTTCGATCTGGCTAAAAGTTTTCAACCTTTTCCTATCCCATGAGAAAAGTTTCTCAGATTTTTTTCAAAATTTGTTACCTAACCCAAAAAAGTTATAAATTTTCCAAAAAATGGTTTTTATTTTCAAATAGCCATAAATTTTTTAAAACTTGGCCACTCAGTTTCTTTGTTTCGGAAAATTTTGTTTTTTAATGAATTTCTTGGAAAAAAACGTTAAAAAAATTAAATTGATATACTCTGAAATTGTTGCCCTTTTCAATTTTCTTTATGTATTTTTTTTTTTCTCAAAAAAGAAACTTCAACTATTTATGCGATTATTGCCGCCAATCCCAGAGTGGGCTGTGACGTGAAAAGATTTTACTCCTCCTTGACGGGGCTCGGGGTGAAATATGAGCCAGGGCCACGTATGTATATTCGACAGAATAGAACTGGACTTTCGTAAGCAGTCCCACGGTACCACCTGAGTCCAGTTTTCCATCAGAAAACTGTTTGAATGTGTTGAAGCATTGTCATCTGGTCAGCTTTTAGAAGCTGAGGCTTCTTTGAAGTTCTCAAGTCGAAAGATTACGGCAGACCCGGACCAGGACAGTCGGTCCTGCGATAGCGCTAGTTACTTCGATCCGCTGATAAAACATTGTCCGCGTTGCACTGGGCTTCGGGAAATTTATAATCTCAATCTACGATTATGATGAGTAAGTTTCAAATTTTATTTAATTAAAATTTGAATTCTAGTCATTATAGTTATAGTCAATTTTAAAGACTTTAAGTTAATGTTAAATAGTGTGTTTTAAATTCTCATTATTGTAATTTATAACTCAAGACCAAATTTGCCCATTAATATACGGTTCTTGAAAAATTCGAACAAACGCCTTGGAACAAAAGAGGTAGTGGTCTATGAAGAGACAGAAAACATTGGGAATGACCAATTTTTCGACTCGAGTTGCAGTAAAAAATGCAATTGCCATTTTGAAAAAGCTTCTAGCGCTTGCAGTTTGTAGCTTGTAAGTATGGTCTTGAAATGGCTAAAAAAAATGTATGCATCAAATTTCCTTTTCGGAACCCTATCTTATAAGATATTTGGGTGCATTGTTTCAAATGGGGCACCCTCTCTATTGCATATTCCTTGGATATATAATCGATTTCAATTGTCGAGTGTTGTCGAAGGAATTTGCAAAATTTCTAAAAGAGAAAAAAGTCGAATGTAGAATAAATTCAAGACGAAGTAGTGTCAAGTGACGATTCAAAAAATCAATTGGGGCGGTAAGAATTGATGGGAAAAAAAATTTTAATCGAACGTTTATTACGTCATTATGTGCGTCTACAGATTATGAAAGCGAATCTCCTAAAAAAATTCATAGATACTGTAAAAAATCGCAGATTGTACCGCCTAATAATTGAAAATTCGATGAATAGAATTCGAGCTATCGGAAAAATAAGAAAACATTCAAGATATAATTTTTATAAAAAGAAAAAACCGATTAATTGGTTATGAAATACTTTATATTATTTGATATTTCAATAAATAGATGACTTTCTGATATTTCAAATTGAAATCATCGTGGATTTTTCAATTCCAGATTTTACACGATGACTTAATAGCAGTTGGATCTGGAGATGACCCCGCAACAATTCAATACACGCCAGTAGAACAATTGAATTCAATGGGCAAACGTCATGCTCATTTATTACTGTGAGATGCACGCTTTATTACTTAGACAAATGTCAAATGCTCAATGGATTTCAGATTGTCGGACAAATTTCAAAAGATATTCAGCCCCATACTGCTGGTTCTTATGCTGGTGACGAGTGTCAATATCTGCATATGTATCATCAATCTTCAGGAAGTACGATTATGGATATTGTTGGTAATTGTGAAATTGATTTATACATTATTTTCAGGAGCTTATGCAGCAGAATTTGGCTGGAGTTAATAAATGTGCCGTACATACTATCATAGCAATGATCCAACCTGCTATTTACTGTGTTTATGCCAATGATCTTGTCGAATGGGTAAGGGTCCCTCTCATTTTTCATATTTTACCATCTAATTTAAGTCATTAGATAATCAATAATTATAATTAAAAGTAAAAGTAATTCATTCCTCTTTAGAAAATTCAGTGACTTTTCTTAAAATCTATTTAACAGTATTTAGTGATGTCACGAATATATTATATATACATACATATATACCTATGTTTTTTAATTTCAATTTTTAATAATTGTCAAAAAGTAAAAACTATTTTTGTTTAAGTCATGAAATGAAAAATGCAAAATTACATGATTCATCATTATTTTATTCTAGTAGAACTAAAAAGCAGTGAATTTTTTCGGTCCAATTTAATCATCAATTTGTAACGAATCTATTAAAAAATGAACCGGTAATAAATTGCCAAACACGAAATATGACTTAAATTCATAGGATAATCTAAACTTATGCCATACATAAACGGAGGTGTATAATTTAATCTCGACATTTTGCTGCACTTTTATATACTTTATCATCATTTGAAGTGGAAAAATCAATTGTCGGTGGTTGAAGAAATTGGTTTTCGGAGGGAACTCACCGAAAATAAATGTTTTCTAGGCTGAATTGACAGCAATCGCTGCCTACACATGCCAATGGGTAGACAAAACCCGATATTTTCGTCACTCTGTCCGCCTCATCACCATGCGTGCTCAAGAAGCCTTACCATTCCGCATTTACGGATTCTTCAGTGTTGATTTGAATCTATTAACGCAAGTAGGTCCAATTATTCGAATAAAAATTATTAGCATATTTGAGCAAAGATTCTTCATTGTTGTACAAAAACTGCCCGAGAGAGATTTATGATATGCTGAGAAAAACAGACCTAGGAAACGACTAACTTACGATCGGTTGTCTTTCGCAGTCGAAAGCAATTTAATCCTAAGCATATATTTAAGGCCTGATCGGATCATCTGGATTATCGCGTCTATAAGTATAATATTTTTTCTTCTGTTTTTGCTTTCGAATGAAAGCTTTGCAATCGTTCAATTTTGACATTTTCTCATTTTTATTGGAAATGATGTAGAATGATCTGAAACGTAAAAATACGAAGTTTGGCGACTATGTCTGTGCCTCCCTCCCCCTTGAGCAATAAAAATATTTTTAGTGGGCCTAAACTACACATTTACCGAAAATCCCTCTGATAATTTTTTGAATATTGTAAACATTTTTTTGAAGAAGAATAAATTATAATTATGTCAGCCAATAATTGGTAGAAATTTCCGAATTAAAAAGCTAAAAATTTAGGTGGCCGTCAGCCATCACTTTAAAGGGCGAGTAGAGGACAGGTGCAGGGCAATTTAAATCATTCCGTAAAAGGCACAACCAGAACAATTGCAACATATTTTTCCCTTAAAAATTCTTTAATATCCTTAGATTGCTTTCAATTACAATAATCTTACCGTATGATGCGTAAAACCCTCGAAATTACAAGAAGACAATTAAGATGGCGATCAGCTATTATTTAAGAAAACAGAATGAGGAGGGATACAGGAAATACGATAAGCATACACTCAAATAAATGTTTTCGAAACACCCGAACACCTAAATTACCTGCACCGATGGCCAGCTAAAGTGACTGGTGATGGCTACCTGCATTTTTTTTGTGAAAATATACTACACGGTCGTAAAACCCTGCATGCGGACTGAATGACAGAAACAAGGCAGTGTCTACACACAGAGTGTATTGTTGAATACCATAGACGTATGACATTTTTTCTACCATGGATCTATGGCTTTTATCGACCATCTCCACAAGTAAATCATGGTCTATGGTAAGTTTTGCAATGCGTCCATGGCACTGGGTACATGGCCATGGACACATGGATGAGAACCATCAATAGATGGTAAAAAACACTATGTGCATGGTGATTTCTACTATACACCTAACCGATTACTGGGTGTATAGCAATCAGAACTATGACTTTACATTTTTTTTATTGGTACAAATTGCACATATGTACATTACTTGGGAATGCTTTTATTGTTGTATTGTTATCCAAAGCTTTACGGTCTTCCGGAAATAGTTGGAGGTGAGAAATTTCACTGTGAATGTTTATACCGGCAATACATTTTTCAATTTATTTGTACCTCCATTAAGGGACTTGAATATTTAAATTGCTCTTTGAGAGAGAAAAGAACCAGAATTGAAGTGAGGTATACGATTTGATACATATGTGCTATTTGTACCAATAAAAACAGATGTAAAGCCATATTTCTAATTGCCATACACCCAGTAATCGGTTGGGTGTATGGTGGAAATCACCATGCATATAGCCGTGTGCCATGAACGCATAACGACCGTTAAGTGTATGGTATTTTTTACCATGCGTCTATGGTTCTCATCCATGTGTCCATGGCACAGTGCATGGAGGCATAGCAAAACTTACCATGGACCATGATTTACTTGCGGTGATGGTCGATAAAAGCCATAGATCCGTGGTAGAAAAGCCATACGCCTATGGTATTCAATCATAGACCGTGTGTGCAGTCACTGTCAAAAAAAATCCTTCGTCACTCGGCCGAAAACCACTTTTCTGGCAATTGTGAACCTACAGTCTCAGGCGAAGTCGCGTTCCTAAACATTTATAACGGCCTAGTGACGAAATATACCATTATTGCATCTTGTCATTGATTTATTAATTTGCACCTGCATTTCAATAATTTAAAATTCACAAATGGCTATTCGCAGATTGCCGTTGGCGCTGCGAGATTCTTCGCGATCATAAATAATCTATCTGGAATGGCCGATTGAGAAAAGGCACGTGAATACCTCCGATTGACTCCTGGAATGCAATTATGAATGATACATTATTTTCTGAGTACTCATATATAGCAATAAATGATCTGATGAATTGAACAGAATCCAATTCAATGGAATTCACACAGAATTTAATAAAATAGAGAATTGATACTGTATTGTAATCCTTTCAAACATAATTTAAGGCGCTATTGGCGTTTTTAAGTTTTATCACTCTTCAATGACTCACAAATTTTCGTAATCGTACCTGTCTTTTTCTAAACTTATGGTAATGTTTTGAGAATTTTTGCTCAAGTTTCTTACTGAGATCGTAGGAACGTTTTTCCACAGTGATGAAACTTGATCAGACATAGAATGATAATAAAATTTAAAATATAGGTATATTTGTTCACGTCTATGTTATCAACCATTTGTGAAAAATTTGTAAAAAAAATGTTGAAAAATTGGAAGATATTGGCAATAACTCCAGTGTAACAAGTGTAACTCGGAATGATAAGGGCAGCATCTCCGCCGCGTTTCCAATCGGCGTTAAAGTACTTATCATATTTTAGGTTAGACTGTACTATCATTTTTAGTATTTTTGACGTATGCCAAGCAGTCTCCTTATTTTTCTTCCTCTTAATTTGTGAATAATCCGTGTGAATTAATTAATGGGGCATTAATGAGAGAATGAGGTGATCATGAATAGTCTGGGACTGAGTCTGATACTTAGAATGGGGTGCTTGTGCTCCAAGGAAACAATTACTGTCAACTCCACCAAGTACAGGGTTTTGGAACATCTTGGAGAAGGGTATGTGTATTAATTGACTAAAAAATTCTCCAAATTAATCTCGAACATACAGATTTTCACCAATTTATTAAGAGGTTTGAACTTTCAAGGAAAAGTTGAATAGAGAAACCTTTGTTTTTCTCTGACAAACTCTGAAGTTCCATTCGGATTCTATAAAAATGAATTTTGTGTTCGAGTTCCATTAAAAAATGCCATTTAGTTTTTAGAAGAATTCTATAACCCATTAGCCAATGTTAAATAGTAGCACGTTCGAAAAATTCGTAACAATAATGGGTATTGCTCGCAAAAAATAGCCAAAAGTAAAGTTTTTTTTCAAACTTACGATGGGGTTGACGTGAAAGAATACAGCGTTTTTGCGTTTTGTTATTATTTAATGACCCTCCAAGTTTCGAGGTGTGCCAACATTTTTCTGTATTTTTTCTAAACTTTTGAAAAGAATCCCAAAACTGTGGGGAAAATGCGTGAAAATGATTACAACACGACGAAACTTCTTGAGCCATTGAATAATGACAAAACGCTTATATTTTTTTGAAACAATCTCATCAATAATTTGCCAAAAAATTTTAAAAACGGGAATTTTCGGGAAAAACACAATGATAACAAATATCTCGGCAAAATTGATTCGGAGGATATTCACATTTAATATTCAATGATAATAAGAATAAAGTGAAAATGAAAACAGAAAGGATAAGCATTTTCTTGGTTTTTTAAACGCTTTTCTCGATTGTGTTTTTTAAATGTTGTACTTTTTCGTTATCTTTTTTTCCGTTTGAGTTAGTTTGATTTTAAAATTTTTATTGCTGATGTCATTCAGGCTCAGGATGTCATTTCTGTTTTTTTTTTTCAACGTTTTCTTTTAAACCAGATTTTTTTACATAAAATCATTAAAATAGCCACTTACTAAAAAAAGACCTACAGATCACTTTTGCGTCCGGCATTTTTTCTATGAGAATTCTTTGGCATGATTTTTCCTACTTTTTTTTCCAAGTTTTTACTATCAGAAATGAGTAGCAATAGCGAGGAAAAAAGTTGGAATATTTACGCCCAGGAAATTCTACATAAAACCTAAATTTATCAACTCTTGATAAAACGAAAAATAGGACTATAATCTTTTATCAAAATTGTGTAGAAACAAATGGCATTTTTGAATATAATTTTAGTGAAACTTCTCAATACACTGAGAGAGAAATTCAGTAAAAATTACGTGCCTGTTCTGTAATGTGCCAGTCAAAATGATGAATTTTTCTCTCCCTATAGAAATTTAGAGTAATTCCTCAAAGAACACTCGGTTTTTGCATTAATTTATTTCACATACATTTCTTGGTTAATTCTCGTAATCTGGAATTCTTTTTTATTAGGGGCTTCAGCACAGTTTATCTAGTGGAAGATATCGAGAGTCACAAGAAATATGCGATAAAAAAGATAATTTGTCATGGGCCTGAGGATCAGCATGCGGCCGCCAAAGAGATCGAGTGCCACTCAATGCTGAGGCATCCAAATATTATTCCTCTAATTGATTCAGCTCAAAACGGACTCGCCGATCCCCTCATCAACTCAACAGGAGAAGTCCTGCTGGTTCTGCCTTACTATCACGTAAGAATAACAATCCAACAGTCTAGAAATCCAAACCAGTAATCACAATAATAATGCCTGATATCTGTTCCCTAGAGGGGAACACTGGCCCAAGAATTAGAGAGAAGATCCAAGAACTCAAATTACCTCACTCCCCTGGAGATTCTCAATCTATTTCTTCAGATTTGCGAGGGTGTTAGAGCCTTCCACGAGGTAAAACCTGAGCCCCTGGCACACAGAGACCTCAAGACGGCGAATATTGTAATGGGAGATGGCATGACCCCAGTGATAATGGACCTGGGCTCTGTTGCTCCAGCTAGGGTCAAGGTTTGTGGGGCTCAGGATGCTCAGTCCCTTCAGGATGTAGCTGCCGAGAGGTGCTCAATGCCCTACAGAGCACCAGAACTTTTCAACGTCGAAAGCTACTGTATGGTAGATGAGAGAACTGATATCTGGGCCCTCGGATGTATTCTCTACGCCCTTTGCTATTTTAAATCACCATTTGATGCTGTTTATGAACGAGGAGACAGCGTCGCTCTTGCTGTGATCAGTGCTAATGTCACTTTTCCCGAAAACGCACCTTATAGTGAGGTAGAAACGTTGGTTTGTTAAATTTCAAGCGTTTTAGGCACTCCCATAATTGTATTGGACATTTTACATTCATATATTTTTAATGTTTGAATTTTTCAAGTAAATTCCAGGAAAACCAAATTAAATGAGAAAAGGTCAGAATTACCTAGATTAAGTTTACAGCCCACATGTACTATCAATCGAATCTAATTTTTGGTTCAACTTTCATGTTGTTAGTGTAAAATATTTCTACATTTGGATTTCAAATTGGAAAAATAAATAAGGCGTGGCAACAAAATAAAATTCAAAACAAAGATTACGTTCGATATATAGCACATCCTTCATATATTTTTAATTTTCAAATTTTCGAGCTAAATTGAGCATGGAAAAAGTACGAAAGCAAAAAGAGTTAGGATTATCAAGATAAACTTTAAGACAATTTTAATACTGTAATTTTTTCAATATTTCCCTCCAAAAAACCAAAATGAGAATTATATTCATTTAAAAAATTGTCATTAATTCTAGAACCAACTGAAAATGATGACTTTCGTGTTTCAGGAAATGCAGAATTTGATTCTCTCGATGTTAAAGACGAATCCCATGGAGAGACCCTATATTTATAGTGTAATTGAAAGTATTCACGACGGAATAGCGAAAATCGAGGGACGTGTTTGATCAGCAACAACATTTTTTATTATTTACTATTACACATATGTAGAAAATTAATAGAAAGAAATTAATTTTATTCATGGCATGGATAATTCTTCAGTGGATCTATCAAACGCATTTGAAAATTTCATCGCTGAGGGTTATAATTTCGATGTTGAATTGCGCTTTAAATTATTTTGTTTTCAATTATCCACTGATTGCATTAATGCCACAATTATTAGATCACTTACTCTATTTGTAAAAGTACGTAATTAATGGAAAGATATTCTTTCCACATTCCGACCAAAATCATTAATATTTTGTAAAGAGAATTATAATGTGCAACGAATCCATCTGCATTTATTGTATATTGTATAGATAATTCAACACACGTGTATTAGCGACTGATTAAACGATTAATCGACTCTTCGTAACGATTGAAGAGAAACATTTGGCAATTATCGGTGTAGATTATATATTCGAAGCATTTATTAATGTAACTCAACATTCCTATGAATTATCAGTTATTGTAAAAGAAATATTTTAATATGGAGTACGAGTATTGTTAAAGAAATCAGAGGGATTTATACCATCGGAAATAAAAAAGTGAATATGAATTAAATAGTCATTGTTTCAATTACACACTATATGCAAAAATCGACAGTGAAGTGAACAAGCTAGATATCTCGAATGCTCCGTTTTTGTAATTATTCATTCGAATTATCTAAAGAACTATCAACTTTGAAGATGAAAACACTAAAGAACTTGTTTGCAACTCATTACATTTCGGACAACAAAGCTTCTCTAATATTTCCTCCTAAACTCAATTGTCTTCTACAAAACTATTATTTCGGTTCATTTTTGATCCGTCCAATTGATAACTAAACGGCTTTGAAATTAAAAAATTATCTTGTTCCTTCAAAATGTTAATTTAATTCGGTGTAGTATATTTTAGTTTTTCATTTTCAAAGAAATTGGAGGATTTTGATGGTGGTGAGAATGCATTTTGGATAATGAGTTTTCGTTGTAGTATAGAATCGTTGGACAAAGTCATTTTGAATGACAAGTTTTTGTATCACACGTACCCAACCCTATAAAAATTAATTCCATAACGAAGTGATAAATCGCATTTTCCGCTTTTCATAATTATGAATTTATCTCAAAAATGATCAATTTCTCCAAAAAAATAATACTCCCTTTTTGTAGCTAATTACATTTTTCACCCACCACCAATCTTTAAAAATATATTTTCTCCTAAAATTAATAGCTTCCGAAATGAATTTTTCGTAGAATTCAAAAAAAAAAGATTGTCAACATTTCATGTTGGCCATTCTGTCGAAATAATTCAAAATTAAGTTGTTTGATGGCGCGTACATCGATCGCTTCCTTTTCCGTTTTTGCTCTGATACAGGTCTGTGTCAATTTGTGTTTAATAATTATAAATCATTTCACTAATATGCAATCCTAGTGTTGTTGGAGAAAATAGCTATTGAATATTGTTAACGAATTCTTCATTGTGATTGTTGCGGACGTATTTGTGGATTATTGAGTGATGGATCTATTCTTTTTTACAGAAATAAAATGGTGCAGCGACTCACCTACCGACGACGTCTGTCGTACAACACGAAGAGCAATCGAAGACGAGTGTAATTATTTTTTATTTATTTATTATTATAAATCACCTAGAGAGCGAATCTTTTTTTATTTTGATCGGGCGAATTCCTTCAGGGTTTGTGGTCGAGTTTTGAAAGTGATTTTTTGAAGTCAGAGAGGTTATGTTTTCCTGGGGTACACCTTCACGTGTCAACAGGGTAGGGTCAACAGTCTAAAATAACAATCATGAATATCAAATTTTCAATTATTGAATTGAGAATTTTAATTTTTCCAGATGTTCTTTTTAATTTCCTGTGGCTCGCCAATTTTAGTGGTTTTATATGTGAACATCAGTCACGTTAATTTGATTAGTGTTTCGGTGATTATTAATTTCCGAGACAAAGTTAATTTCTTTTTTTTGCGGGAAATGCCACCTCTCACAAAAAAAATTGCTTCAAAGTTTTTGTCTTACTCGCCTAATTGTTTAAATCTTTTTAAATCTTTAGATAACATGACGAATTTGAAGATTTGGTGAATCAAAGTATTTCTGTTATTAAAGTTATTGGTTTATTCCAGGGTACGTACTCCAGGCGGCAAGCTTGTGTATCAGTACTTGAAGAAGCCCAAGAAGATCCCAAGATGTGGTCAGTGCAAAGACAAACTCAGGGGTATCCAGCCAGCAAGACCGATGGAACGTTCTCGTATGTGTCGACGTAAGAAGACTGTAAAACGAGTCTACGGTGGTGTTCTCTGCCACAAATGCGTAAAAGAGAGGTACACGAGCTTTCCAGCACCTTTGAATATCATTCTCATGAATTGTTTGATTTTTCAAATCGTTTCAATCGATATATGAAGAGGATCAATGGAGGAACCTACTCCTTCCTCCAAAAAAATCACTTAAATTTCGATTAGAATTGGAATTCTGGCAGAATTCAAACGAATTTTTGATACTCTAATCGTTTTTCGGGGCTAATTCTGTTGGATATTGAATTGAAAGAAGTAAATATATTTTGTTTTTGTTTTTCGAATATTTTTTCCATTAAAATCATTAGGTACGAATTTTCTCAACGTTGTAGTTTGTTTAATTTGGAATCACACAATCCGAACGGATCCTTTTAGAAAATTAATGCTCCAACATTTTTATTAAAAAATGTGAATTAATAGGTTTTTGATATGAAATATCCAATGGAAATACCGAAAAAAACGGAATTCTAACGTTCATTGCAGTCAATTCTAATAGAATCCCAATAAAATTAGTATGGAGTTTTAACAGAATTTTTCAAAAAAGATGAAGTTTTTTGTTGAATGTTTTTAGAAGTTTTTAGAAACAGAATCGAAGAGCAGAATTCCTCTCATTCTCAGAAACCTTTGAGTTCATTTTCTGAATCAAGGATGTCATAGAAAATTACTAAATACAAAAAAAATGAAATCTACTGAAAGAATTGCAAAATCAAGATGATTCGGCATTTACTCAAATGAAATTAATGTATTCACCAAATATCTTTTATTGAGACTTCATACTCGGAACTTTTATGCAAAATTTTTATATCTGAATCTACGCTTTTTGTATTTTTTTTTTTGTTAATTAATTCAGAAAATAATAACAATATTGATAATTCTTTCAGAATCGTTCGCGCTTTCCTCATCGAGGAGCAGAAAATCGTGGTGAAGGTAATGAGGGCACAACAAGCTTCGACGAAAACGAAGAAAGTCGAGAAGTAACTTACTACCCCACTATAATTAATTAATAAAAAAATTGAAAAAAACATACTCAAATATTTTACATGAATTCCTTCACCAAATTCCATCCCTGGGAAGCTACATATAAATAATTCGCCTAGTACTCGAAATGATTAAAAAAAACGCTAAACAAGGGCATTTATTTATTTGTAAAATGTCCATGCAATTGATTTAATGGAGAAACGGGAGGGTTTTTTGTTGAAAATTTAATGAGTTTCGAAGAGTCCTTTGATGGTTTCATTATCGACGATTGAGAAACATTAAATTCGAATTATCTTACTTCAACATTCGGCTATTAAATGGTCTTGTGCTTCCACGAGTTTCTTCCGTATAAAGTAAAAAGAATGTCAGTCACCATCTATGGTAACGGTTGAGATACAACATGAGACTGTTCCCTCGTTTCTTCCATTCCCGAGTTCTTGCCTACCGTGAAACCATAACGAGAGCTACAATCGCTGGAAAAAGGTGATTTTTGCTCTTAACAAGCGCCTTATTTGTTAGTATCGAGCGGACAATTCGCACTCTGGGCACGTTAGATACTTGGGAGTCGGGGAAAATTCTCCGGCTTGAATTAGAAATCTAATCTCGAATCAAAGAAAATCAGTGCGCAAACCTACAACAATTTTTCAACCACAAACAAATTTTGCAATTTTCTTTAAAAATAATTGCACAATCATCTTCGATATGCAACCCGTACTTCAATTTTTTTACCATCTTTTAATAATACTGATATATTATTTATGTTATCTTATTAATAATATAATCATTATTTTTCAAAGTTTAATATAAAAATTAAAAGAAAAAAATGTTCTAGTGTTAAAAACTCATATTCAGCTATTTAACAGAGCGCAACTGAAAAAGAAAAAGAAATTCTTTAATTTAGCTTCGAAAAATGCGACAAAGGAAAAAAATAGGAAAAGAAAAGTAGTGAGTGAGGGAGACGACAGAGAGAGAATGCCGGGAACTCGTCGAATTTGGCCGGCAAAAGTGAGAATGTCACGACGAATTTTACATTGTGAGGATCACATTTCTCGTGTTTCTCTTTTCTCCACACGAGATTTTTTTGCACAAGTCTCGAAAGGAGGGGGGAGGCCTTAGGGCTTTTGATTGTTTTTTCCACGTGCAATTTCGCACGACGGGCGCAAGAAAATTACAAGAGATATGTATTGCGGTTGAATTCTCGGATCCAGTCCTTCAAATTCGACTTCGATTGCTCTTGAATTACCCGACGTTTGCATTCGAATGCCGAAGAATCTCCATCCAATAATTCCTTGCATTGATAACCATCTACATTCCTTCTACTCGCTATCGTAAATTGCATCTTCATGCAAATTGTTTTCCGTTTTTTTATCAATGTTTATTGAAGAATTACCAAGATAAAAATCATTTTCCATATATAGGATTTTCCCATCTACTCATCAGAATAACACTAAATTCTTCAATTTCACTTCGACTTTTGATATTTTTTATTGATAAAACACGTAATGATCAATTTTTTATTTAAAAATTATTGAATTTGATTTATTATATATTTTAAGGAGACGATGAAACAGTATCGTACATTTAATCTTCATGTAAACTGTTCCCGGTTTTCGATAAACTTTCATTAAGCAATTACCAGGATAAACATTCTTTATCATATCATTGTTTCATCTACAAATCAAAAATTGAAAAATTTAGCTTTACTTCAGCTTTTTATTTTTTTAACCGACAACAGACCATATAAAAACATCATCAATAATGATTAACAGATTTTCATCATGAAGTGACAAAAATCAAAGTTTTAATGATAAAAACCTGAGTTATGCTCTTTTTATTATATTTTTTCGCTGAGAAAAGAAGGAACAAATTTCGTAAAATTAAAATTTTAATATTACAACGGATATAATATATCTGTTGCAAAGTCAGTGGAATAGTTTGAGAAAGATCAATAATTTTTCAATAAATTGTCAAATAGTTGCTGCGGGCTCATAGCTCATAATAAGCATTGACTGCTATAATTTACTGTGGGCCGTTTGACAAAATAACAAGTAGGTGGGGTGTCGGTTTTCACACCCGGGTCGCAACGGGGGGAAGGTATCCTGACGCCAAAACCCCAGGGGAATGTAAAAAAGGGACCAGAGAGACTGAACCGGTCCTGATGAATCTTTGTTATATATCCCCTCGTTCCTCCTAAACTCCCTCCTCCGTCCCTCATTCCCTCTCAACTATCGCCACACCAAGACCCCAAAATCCAGGGCTGTACACGGAGAGAAATATTCACTAAAAATTACCCATCTTTACCCTAAT